CAACCGTCATAACAAATTAGAGTAAAAACAAAGCAACCTAGAGCCCAAAATAGATGTGGCCCAACATTGTTCTTCTGAAGGTCCTCCCCACCCATCATAATCTTCCTATAAAAAGTACGGAGCAGTAGGAAAGAATCTGCGCGCACACTCTTATATCTGCCACAAGAGTCCATCCACAATTAAAACTTAATAAGCAAATACAACAAATAAATCATAGGCCAATAGAAATTAAGAAAAATAAATTTACATGACTAATTATTTATTAAAATTGTATATAAATATAAAAAAAACTTACAAACATTTATATATTGTATATAATTGATATCACAGTAATTGATAACCTTCGTATTCCAAACACGAGGGACCAAGCGGGAAGCTAATTGAGAATTATATTAGTGTAAATCACAATTTGTAGAAAGAAAGTGGAACTTTACTAAAATTCAGTTTAACAATACATTAATTTACACTACTCAAATGATTCAATTTTGCACTCCCATTGAAAAAACAAAACATAAAATCAAAACCCTATAAAATGAAATTTGGCGGCCTATGAATGGATAGAAACAAGCCTAAACTCTCAATTTGACCTTTTTTTTCTTTGGCAATTCAAACAAATGCCAAGGACATTGATAGTCTGTTCCACATCGCCAACATTTTAACCAAATTTATATTTTATTTGTTAAATTTTGATTTAAGCTAGTTATTAAGGTTAATACTATTGTTTCAAAAAATAGTTATTTAAAAAAAATTCTTGAATATATTAATGACATTATTTTAGTTACAATATCAATATATGTGATATATATATATATATATAAGAAAGTCACACTCATTTGCAAAACTTGTACTTTGAAAGGTAAGTTCAAACTACATCTTTGTGCTTGATATTAGACAATATGCCAAAACACCTTTACAAGTTACAGCTTTTTTTTACTATTTTTTTTTTTGAATATTATGGTGTGATGTGAAATTGAAGATCATTTTTTGCCATTAAAAAAAATAAGGTGAATTGTAAAAAACACCCATTAACTATCACACATTAGCAAAAAACCTCCCTTAAGAATTGTTTTAGTAAAAAAAAAAACCCCATCAACTATCATGAGGGTATTTTAACTGATGACAATTTAAGGAGTTATATTTTGGACGAAAATACCCCTTAAACAGTCAATTGTTCACCACCACCGTTAAAGCGAGTCTTTACCACGTAGTCTTCTCCAATCATCTTCAGTCCTCGGAAACAACCCTCGCCAATCAAGTTGATGAACTACTCTGGACCAAATAATTTGAAACCAGTGGCCTTTGAAATTAGGTGAGTATCATTGGTTTCAAAAAAAAAAAAAGTTTTTAAAAAAATTCATAAATTGATATTAATGACATTATTTTAGTTATCTTTGTGTTTGATATTGGGCAATATGTCAAAAACACCTTATAAGTTGTAACTTTTTTTCTTTTTCTTTTTCTTTTCTTTATATATATATATCTTTGTGTTTGATATTGGGCAATATGTCAAAAACACCTTATAAGTTGTAACTTTTTTTCTTTTTCTTTTTCTTTTCTTTATATATATATATATATATATATATATATAAGAATTTAAATTTTATCATGTGATGTGAAATTGAAGATCATTGAGGTCCTTACAAACAACATAGACGTCATTCCATGTAATCTTTACCTCCCCATGTGCACAAGAGAGGATTGAGTTGCCACTTGCCACTAAAAAGATATGAGCGCCTTCACAATCTATTCAATTGATCGATTCTCTAGCGTCTAATTTATTATTTGTGAATAACATTGTAATGAGTAACTCATTATTAATTACCAAAAATAATGTTCTCGGTTAATTTTTATTTATTTATTTATTTGTCATGAAGATAAAGTATAGCATAACTTAATATTTTGCATGACTTCTACTATTAATATTATTTTCGTTCACAATATTTTCGGTTTAGCTCATATATGTTTCTAATTTAAATTTAAAATTATTTTGCTAAAACTAATTTACTATGAGACGTTGGAGTAAACTGAAATAACTGGGGGTGCGTTTAGTAACGTTTTCGTTTTCTGTTTTTGCAGTCGCAAAGAAACATAAACATAATTTTGTTTTTCGAAGTAAAAACAGAAAGCAAAAATAATGTTTAGTAACTTTTGTTGTTATCACAATTTTAATAACAACAAACAAAAAGCAGTGTTTAGTAAAACATTTGTTACAATTTTTTTTTTTTTTTTTTTTTTTTGAAAATTTTTTTAATTTATTTTTTCATCCATCGATCAAAATCTAACTTTCAATCACAATAAAAGATATAATCTAAAAAGGAAAAAAATATATATATATACAGGCAAGATATGTATACAATTGTATAATGTATATATATATAATATAAAAATAAATTTTATATATACATATATATTAACAAAAAATCTGAAAACAAACCACAACCAATACATATATAACAATCAGAAAAAAAAAAAAAAAAAGAAGAAGAAGAAGAAGAAGAAGAAGAAGGGCGTACAGTTGTATAATGTTTATATATAGAATATAAAAATAGATTTTATATAATGTATATTTATAGAATATTAAAGTACTAATGGAGTAATGTCTGGTTGTGTATTAATGGAAGAGTAATGTCAGTTGTTGCGTAAAAAACAAGAGAAACATTAGTGAAAACGTTTCATCTGTTACAGTGAAAAAACACAGGAAACATCATTTTGATGTTTTCTTTTTCTTTCATAAAAATGAGAAATGTTTTTCATTAAGAGGATACAAAAACAAATTAATAAACATGATTTTTGTGTTTGTTTCTCCTTTTTAAGAATTGACAACAGAAAACAAAAAAATGTTTTGGGTAAGACATGAATGATCAGATAAATCATAAATTGGTATGTTTTATGAATGATCATAAATCATTGTATTATGTGTTTTTGTTTATATTAGTTTAGTGGGCAATAAAAAAAATATAGTTTTTCGGAAATTAGTAGTAAGAGACTTTCAATTAAATCTAATAAAGAAATATTACAAATAAATAATATAGGTCAATAGAAATTTAGAAAAAATATTTTAAAATGTATATATAAACAAAACAAAACAAAAAAAAACTTTCAAACATTTATATAAAGATATAGATTTGATATTATAAAAATTGTTATCCTTCATATTCTAAGCACCTATATCACACATTCTGCCAAATTTATTTTTTATTTGTTAAATTTTAATTTAAGCCAATAACTAAGATCACCCTACTATCGGTTTCAAAAGAACTATTAAAAAATTTAATGAATTGTTATTAATGTCATCATTTTATTTACAACAACAATATATATAAATAAGATATATATATATCTATTGATATATTAGTATTTTTCTTTGCATGAATTCTGACTATTAGTAGTATTTAAGTTAAAAATATTTTTTGAAAATTAGCCCAGGCTTAGTTTATGTCTTCTTAAATATATTATAAATATAATATTTGAGTTATCAATATTGTTTTAAGTTAACTAAGGTTTAGCTCATATGTCTTTTTAATTTTAATTTAAAAATATTTTGCAAAAAATAATACGAAAGATGTTGGAGTAAACTGAAACATTTCAGGAATACATTAATTAAGGCTTCATTCATCTATTCTTTAACATTGTAGGAGGCGGGGAGGTGAGAGGGCAGAGGAATTTGTATTCAACACAATTCAACTTTCTTGTTACAAATGTTTTAGAATAGTTATATTAATTGAGTTTGAGTCGTAAACAAAATTTGAAATTTGCTAAATTTACTAATTTAAACGTTTTCTAAGCCGAGTTTGCCATTATATAGTAAATAATGAAAAAATATATAATGTAATGTAAAATTAAAATTGTTGAAAAAATATAATTAAACTTATATTTAACTATATCCAGGGAAAGAATGCTTCTCTAATCTTTTTGAACTCAATATTTATTTATTTTTTTTCATGCTTCACATTGCTTAATATCCTTTTGAAACTTTTTTTTTTTTTTTTTTTTTCTATTCGGAAATTGTTAGTAAAGAAATGGCCACATACTACATATAAATTGATCTCTTGTTGCAAAATTAAGGGCATTGAAGTCCGTTGTTTAGAGAGGGAGATAGGGAGGTATTCTTAGAATCTTATTAATGGGGTGGAATGGATGAACTTGCTATTTATTTATTAATTTAATGTTAAATTGTTAATTATTGCTTATTACTTAAAATTGATTAAAACAGATGATCTTTTGAAAACTAGTGTGTTTTATGAGTTTTAGTTTCGCTACTTCTAAGATATTACATGCTTATTTGATGTCAATTTAATGGGCATCTCAAAAAAGGTGCAGTGGTTGTCTCTAAATAAAAACTAATAAGCAAATACAACAACAAAGAATTAATAGGCCAATAGAAATTAAAAAATATAAATTTACACTAGTTATTTATTAAAAAATCATGTAAAAATTATAAGTAGATTTGGTATCATAGTAATTGATATACTTTGTATTCTATGTACCTCAAGTGACGAATGAGGAAGCAAATTGAGAATTATTAAGTGTAACAGAAATCACAATAATAAATAAATTGAAAGTTTTTTTATTTAAAAAAAAAAAAAAACTAACGGTATCAAACTTTTATTTTTAAAAGAGAAGTCAGAATTTAAACTTAAGTGGAGGCATGTGTGTGAAATATTTTTGATAAACTTAAAAATCAATTCAACAATACAATAATTTAGAGTTTAAAACCATCACTAGTTTTTACTTGAAAAGGTAGTAAAAAATATACCATTGAATTATATACAGTATGTATTTTGCATTGATTTCTCCTCTTTCTCGTGCTAGTCATTATTATTATTATTATTATTATTATTATTATTATTTGGGTAAATGTCTAGTCATTATTTTGTTAAAGTTAAACTTTGGGATGAGTAACTCAGGAAATAACTTTGGGATGACTACTAACTCATTATTTGTGATCAAAACAGATGTTCCATCGAGCTGCATAAAAGATAACTTTTGGAGACTCCACCATGAAAGCTCTCCACAAACCCAAACCCCCGTCAAAGACCAACCCCACTGCAAATCACCTCAAACCACCATTCATCCCACTGAATCAAACCTCCTCCATCTCTCCACCTATACTTACATCCCCAAATAATATTCCTTTACATTCTCACCAGCATAAACCAGCTCACAACTTCCATCAGAAAACTCCTCCCAAGCAAACAAACCAGTTTAGGAAATCCCACCAAGAAACACTTCCCAAGCAAACAAATCAGAAAATCATCCTTAAGAAACCTCCATCTACTACATTACAAACACAAATTTACCACCCACCAATTCCATCCTCACTCTCAGGCAAGCCCCATGTACACTTTCCCCCATCCACTATAAACCCTGTAAGGATTCCTCAATGCAGTAACACTCCATACAAAACATCTACTCATTCACATCATCCACCACTTCAACATTCCCCTACTTCACCTCCTGCTAACTCCTACTTATCAAGGAACTTCAACCCTTTACTTTATTCCTCCCCAGCTCATCAAATTGACAGACTTCAAGAGCAATTAGAGTGGAAGGATGAAAACCTTGGGAAAGCCCTGGAAATGTACAACCGGCTCAAAAATATGATCTCAGAACTAAGAAGTGAGCTTGCTGAGATCAAGGTGCAAAATCAGCAAAATGCTCCTACTCCAACCACCCAGCAGCCACCACCACCACCACCACCTGTGGGCCACACACAGCAGTAGCGGGATCAGGTTTGAATTCAAATTCAAACTCAATTACAATTTCTAACCCCTTGGTCAAGTCCCCTCTGCAGGTTACTTCTCCCTCCACTTCTCACTCCTCTCAAAAGAGTAAAAGTGCAGAATGCTTTCCCACCTCTTCCAATACAGCTCCTACAAACTTACCTATTTTATGTTTCCAGCCAAATTCGCCAAAGACAATAATGGTCCCACCTCCCCCTCTCTCTAACCTCGTGCAGCACATCACTGACAATACAATAGTCAATCCACTTTCCCTCCAAAATCAAACCACCCATTAACCATCAGTCTAAACCATGGAATGAAGTGGTCAAACAAAGCACCAAAATGAACCTTGAATATCTCCAACCTTCAGCCTCCTCTAGGTACATCGACCCACCAAAGGGCCCGTGGTCAATTGCAGGACACCCCTTTTCACTTATGAAATGGAACCACCAGCCCCAAACTCAGTCACCTCACCCTGGCTGCATTCCCACATGGATCAAATTCTATAACATCCCCCACAATTTCTGGACTGCTAAGGGTCTGAGCCATATAGTTAGTTCAGTTGGTGAACCCCTCTATGCAGATGAAACAACTGAAGGAAGAACTAAACTCAAGTATGCAAGAGTCTGTGTTAATCTAGACCTAACCAAACCACTTCAGACACAGATTCAAATCAAAGTGGATGATAGCACCTTCCAGTTGATTAGAGTTAAGTACCAATGGCTGCCAAAGTTCTGTACTAAATGCAACCAATTAAACCATACTGAACCCTCCTACCCTCTCAGCCACATTAAACCAGCAGCTCATATTCCAAATTAAAACACCTCTGCTCTCATTAATCCCCCATTGAAAGAACACAGCCCTGCAGCAGCAAATCACACCAATGACTAGATCACAATCAAAAAGAAAAAGAAGCCATCTACTGTCAGAGTCCCAATTCCACCTCAACCACCATCTACTACAATAAACAATCCTTTCTCACCACTAAACCTTATAAAACAACCTCTCCACACCAGAAGTTATCCTTCCCCTTCATCAACCCACAGCACCAAATCATCCACTTCTTCCTCAAACCAGACAAAGGTACAAAATTCAGTTACAGATTCACCAACCCACTTGGCCCACACACCTGTTCACTCACCTCTATGCATCAAAAAACTCAAATTCTCAGATTTCACCACACCATCCCCATATAAACCATCATCATCTATGCTTTCTACTTCAATGTCTCCATCAACTATACACTCCCCACTAACCTTTCCTCAATACAAGAAGATTACCAAAGCTCAAAAAGCACAACAGCAAACCACTCTACCTTCAAATCACAGAAGCCTGCCTCACTTTCCCCTCACCCTCTCAAGATTAACACTACACCCCCCACCCACAGTGGTCATAATTTGGATCTGCCAAATTCACTGTCTTCATTGAGTGATCCACCTTCTAACACAAAAGGGGCACTCACAGCCACAACTATGAAGAAAGTAGCAAAGAAGAAAAATTGCAGCAGCACTGAGTTGATGCGTAAGCATCCTGGAGATTCTTTCACTCCACCATTTAAATGATCTCTCTTGCAACATGGAATATAAGAGGGCTGAACCAGCCCTCTAAGCAATCAGAGATCAAGAGACTAATCTCTGAGAAAAAGCTTGATCTAGTCTCAATTGTAGAGACCAAAGTGTCCTTAGCCAATATGGATTCCATCCACAGGTTTTTGTGTCCGACATGGTCACTGATTCATAACTATCTCTTTTCCCCTCTTGGGAGGATTTGGGTACTTTGGAACCCAAACCAAATTGATCTCAAGGTCATTCACACCAGCAAACAAGCAATCCATTGTTCAATCTCTATAATAGGCCAAAATATTACCTTTTTTTACCTCATTTATATATGCTGCTAATCTTGCAAATGAAAGGCAGCCTCTATGGGATAGCATTATCCACTTTGCAGGCATCTTCTCTCCCTCACCATGGTTGATCATGGGGGATTTCAATGTGATTCCCAATGCTGCTGAAAAATTTGGAGGTGCAGGGAGGAGGTATCCAGCCATGACTGAATTCAAAGAATGTTTGCAGTAGGCAGAACTTGATGATCTCAAATTCAGTGGCATCCTTTTCTCTTGGAACAATAGAAGCCAAGGAAATGCATGTATTGCAAAAAAAATCTGGACAGAGCCCTTATCAACCATCAATGGTCCATCTCTTTCCCAATTTCAGAATGCATTTTCCTACCACCAGATATTTCTGATCACAGCCCCATTCTAGTCACTATGGATCTCAATATCCCTCGCAGGTGTATTCCCTTCAAATTCTTCAATGCCTAGTCCTCTCATCCTCAATTCTTGCCCTTTGTCCATGAGGTGTGCAGTACATTCATCAGGGGCACTGCCATGTTTCAAGTGGTTCAGAAGCTCAAGTTATTAAAGTCAGTTCTCGGGAATAATTGCAAGAAGGATTTTTGTGAAATCGACTCCAAGCTACACTATGTGAAGACAGAATTAGATTCTTGCCAGTTTGACTGACCTTGATAATTCTCCAAATGATGTCTTCCTTAGAGAGTTGGAAAGATCACTTACTGCTGAATTTCTGAAGCTTGCAAAGATTCAAGAAGACATGCTAAAACAAAAATCAAGAATGAATTGGCTCAAGTTGGGAGATTGCAACTCCTCTTTCTTCCACAGATCCTTCTCTGCTAGGAACAATAAGAAGAAAATCATTTCACTCACTACTGAGTCTGGTCAAGTCATTGAGGACATGGAATCCATCAAGCTTGAAGTTGTCTCTCATTTCCAAAACTTGTTGGGTTACTCTCCTCCTTCTAACTATAATCTCTCTGACTTGCTTCCTTTCTTCTCAAAACAGGTCCCTCAGCACCTACACAGCTATATTGATGACCCTCCATCCTCTAGAGACATCACAGAATGCATGTTGAATCTTAAAAAGGACAAAGCCCCTGGCCCTGATGGCTACAATGCCATGTTTTTTCAAAAAGCATAGTCCATTGTTGGTAGATCAGTCACACATACAATTTCAAAATTCTTTAGAAATGGGAAACTTCTTGCTGAGGCCAACAATACTTACATTTCTCTAGTCCCAAAATGCCAAAACCCTAATTCTCTGCACGACTATAGACCAATTTCCTGCTACAACATAATCTACAAGTGCATATCCAAGCTACTAGCACAAAAGCTACAAACCACTCTCCCATCTATCATTGATCCTTCACAATCAGCATTCATCCATGGAAGGAAGATAAATGATCCTATTCTCTTGGCACATGAATTAATGAGAGGATACCACAAAGATAGCTCCCCAGCCAGATGTGCAATCAAGATTGATTTAAGGAAAGCCTTTGATTCAGTCAAATGGGATTTTATCATCGATTGTCTATCACTGCTCAACTTCCCACAGAAGTTCACTTCACTTATACATGCATGCATTTCCTCTCCTTCATTCACCATAGCTTTCAATGGTGAGTTTTAGGGTTATTTCAAAGGGAAAAGAGGGCTGAGACAAGGTGATGCCCTCTCACCTTTCCTCTTTGTCATAGTCATAGATACACTCTCATCCATCATCAGCAATTTTGTGGATAGGGAACATGCCTTCAAATACCACTGGAGATGCAAGGATCTCAAAATCACTCATCTGTCATATGCAAATGATCTTCTTCTACTTTGCCATGCAGACACAACCTCTGTCTCAGTTTTAAAAGCTACAATTGATCTTTTCTGTTCAATGTCAGGCCTAGCTATCAATCTCAACAAAAGCTCCATTTTCTTCTTAGGCACTAATCAACACACTGAAGAATGTATTACATCATTGCTTGGGATTGGAGTTGGATCACTTCCAGTCAAGTACCTTGGTGTCCCACTCATGTCAACCAACCTTAAATCATCCCATTGCAGCATTCTGATTGACAAGATTATACATAGAATCACACACTGGACCTCTACGTCCCTCTCTTATGCAGGTAGATTGCAACTCATCAAGGCAGTTCTTGTTTCCACACAGCTCTATTGGTCAGGAATTTTTATTCTCCCTAAAGCTGTAATCAATCAACTCAACAGTATCTTCAGTGCCTTCCTTTGGTCTGGGCCAGAAATGAAGTCTTCCTGTGCTAAAGTTGCTTGGAGCAAAATATGTAAACCTAAGGAAGCAGGTGGGTTGGGTATTCTAAATTTGGAGTTGTGCAACAAAGCTGCTATACTTAGACATATTTGGGACCTTCAAGCAAATGATTCAAACAAGTTATGGGTTAAATGGTGTCACACTTACCTCGTCAAATCCAGGAATCTATGGACTCTCACTAACCCTCAGCCATGCTCCTGGAGTTGGAGGAAGATTCTGCAGCTGAGGTTCCATGCAAGATCTATCATCAAGCACAGAATTGGAGATGGTAATGCTACATCCTTTTGGTGGGATAACTGGGCTACAGGTGGTCCATTGTGCTCTAGACTTCCACCTACCTTCCTAACTGATAATGGTCTTAATGAGAATATCAAACTCAGTTCTTTCATCACCAATTCAACATGGTACTTCCCACAAAGCATCCTTGCTGCATTACCAGAGCTGCATTCCCTTAACCAGCCATCATCTACATTCAGTGACAGGAAGGTGTGGTCTGTATCTCCATCAGGTGTTTTTACCTTCAAGCACACTTCGGAATATCTCACAGGTCAATTCCCTCAAGTCCTTTGGTTCAATTTAGTTTGGAAATCCCACATAATTCCAAGGATGAAATTTAACCTATGGTTAGCTGTTCAATCTCGATTGCCTACTCTTGACAGTAAGTCAATGGCTCATCACCACAACATATGCGTGCTTTGTAACTTATCAACTGAATCCCATGATCATCTTTTCTTCCGCTGTTGTTTCATCTCCCCAATTTGGAGATTTATCCGTGACAAGATCAAATTCTTCTCCTCAATTCGGAATTGGAATGACTTGGTCCAGTTTATTAGCACGTGTTGGAAAAATCGATCCCCTGCAAACCTCCTTCGAAAA